AATCAGCCAAAAGAGTGAATGGATTTTACAAATATTGACATCTTGAAATTTTCCTCTTAAAATACTGTGCATCATCAAACAGTCTCTATTTTTACACCAGCATTCAAATGTCTGTTAACTCAAGTTAAAACTGTCAGAAATTTCTGCTATATATTATTCATGCAGGGTTTTGGAAAATAGGGACTAAAAACAAAGTTTTCTTTGTTGTTGGAAATATTTTTTTCATATGTTTACTAATATAGACCCTCTAACTTAAACTACTACTCTCCTAAAACTTTACATGCTTAGTAACGGTGCTGAGGGTGCTTTAAACTTCTCACAGTGTGAAACCAGGAGTGGATCTTAGGCAGTCAATCTGCGGACGAGGTTAACTTACATAAAGATGCAGTTCATTTGTGTACAGAAGTATCCTCTTTTTACTAGATACATCCTAAATACACATTAAGTAATTGACCTTCTAAGTTATTCCCCCTTGGTTCGTATATTTCCATCTGAATTACAAGTTGTATCATGATCGTTGCAGCTTGCCAAAGTGTGCCTGGTTTATTACTAAAATATGACCATTGATAGCTAAGTAATAATGAGATTGATCAGCTCTAAGTGAAGAGAATGAAGAAGTAATATCTTACTGCTGTGGTTTGAATATGGTCTCTCCAAATAGCTGGGTGTTAGATGCTTATTTCCTTGGATCCCCTGCATGGAAATGGTAGGACCTTGTAGAAATCTCTGACCATTGACAACATGCCCACCAGGGATACCGTGAGACCCAGGCCTTTTTCTCTTATTTCTTGGAAGTAAAGTGTGTGTTTTCTTCTCCAGCAGAAGCTGAGAGCAGAACTTTGGATGAAAGGGCTCACATTTAGAGATGGCAGTTACTGGTGGGCCTTCATGTTGGACTGTATGGAATGTTTGTGCTGTCTCCTTCATCCTGTCTCCCTCAGCAGTTAGCGTAGTGTCTGCCTTAAGGAAATAACAAATAATTACTAACTTCCTGCAAGCCCAGGGGGCTATTTGGGAATAAATATTTGAGCTGAGCCTTGAAGAAGAGGAGACATTTGACCACAAGCTGACCATGGTAGAAAAGGGAGAATAGCGTGAGGAAATAGCATGCAGGAAATGGCATGACTGGGACTAAAGCAGAATCATTAATGTGGAAGGCTTTGAATGCCAGATCAAAGTGGGGTTTTGTTCACCTGTAAAGGAAGTAAAATATAACTTGCTTACACTTCAAGATGATTGTGGAGGGCCAAATAGGAAAGTGTATAAAAGTGCTTTATAACCTGGAGGGTGATAAAAAGTTGTTGACTAAAACTTGAATCTTGTTTTGGATTTCTCTTATCCAACTCACCCATAATCTTCTTACCCATCCAGATTGAGTTTCCATTCATTTTAACTTCTCTTTATTTCCGCCTTTCTGACTGCATAGACCTTTCTTTCTCTCTAGCCTGGCCTTGCCCTTCCCTCCTCCTTTTCACATCATGTTTGTCTTAAAAAGACCAAACCAAAAATACCATTTCTCCTCCCAGGGATCGTTAGCATACTTTTTTCTTTCTGAATTTGTGGTGATTTGAAAGAATGGTCCCCAAAAGAAGTGGCACTACTAGAACATGGCTTGTTGAAGTAGGTGTGGCTTTGATGAAGGAAGTATCTCACTGTGGGGACAGGCTTTGAGGTCTCTTTTGCTCAAGCTTCCCTCAGTGTGACTGTTAGTCGATTTCCTGTCACCTGCAAGATGTAGCACTTCAACTCCAATACCGCATCTGCCATGCTCCCCAACATGATGGTAATGGACTGAACCTCTGAAACTGTAAGCTAGCCACCCCAGTTAAGTGTTTTCTTTGTAAGAGTTGCCATGGTCATGGATTCTCTTACAGCAATAGAAACCCTAACTAAGACAGAAATATTTAAACACTTACCACAAGAGACAAGTTTAATGTTCCCTACTTGTAGCTGATGTAATATGTTTCCTGTGTTCGTAGTTGGATGATTAGCTCCAAGGGGCAAATAGAACACAGGCTTACTTTATATTTCTTTCTTGCTAATTTAAAGTCTTAATAGCAAATGTTTATTAAACTACAAAAATATCCATAGTAACTGCATATTTAAAATAAGTAATAACTTCAATTTTACAACTGGAGGATAGGATAATGAGCATTTTAAAATAATGTCATTTGTAGATATGGGATTCAAGTGTACATGTAAACCCAGAAACTCTTGAGTTAGATAATTTAGTGTTTGTACACCATCAGTCCCAGTTTGTATGGGATTTTGAAAACAAAACTAGTAGAAACTCAGTGCTTTGACATTTTTGTTTGGTTTTATTTTGTTTTTATTAAAGGCAGTGAAAGAGAAGGGAAAAAAACAGCAACCCATATGCTAATGCTGTTTCTGTAGGTCAGAAACTACTAGTGTGGTGTGGTGCCTGGTGCTATAATCCCAGCACTTGGGAGGCTGAAGCAAGAGAATTGCCCCAAGTTTAAGACCAGCCTGGATTATATAGTACTCACAAGCCTAGACAGCCAGCCTAGGCCTTGGAATGATACCCTGTTTCAGAAGTCCTCCAAATCCAAACAAGTTCAGCAGTCAAACTTCGGAAATTTCAAATTGTCCTATATAACTATATAATCAATTCAGTTGAAGTTCCTAACCTGAATAATGCATACATAGCCAAGCAATTCCGTTACTGGAGAAAGTGATAATTTCTGTTAGCACACATTCATCTGATAGGAGATGTTGTTATGCAGCTGCTGTGTACTAGAACAAAACCAGAGACATGTACAGAAGGCGAACGGTAGACTGCCTTTGGTGATGTAAGTGTTTTTATAGATGAGAAAATGTTTTATAAATATAAATAGGTAATTATAAATTATGGCAATTGTTAAAAAATTAATTACTTAGTTTAGATTGGGTAGGTCAGGAAAACCTTTGTGAGGAATTAATATTTGATGCACCCCATAAGGAATGAGTAGGTAGTAAGTAAATATACCTTATGAGAAAAAGTAGAAACAGCATATGTGGACCTGGACATGTTTAGAGATAGAAACTGTCCAGAAAGCTGCATGATAGAGTGAAGAGGATATGGAAGACTGAGGAGCTTAGACAGTTATGAACCAAGTAGGAAAGACTTTTATATATAGCCCAAGTGCATGGGGAAGCCACTGAAAAGATTGATATGAATGGGTTTATGTTTTAGAAGATTGATCTGAGCACTTGATGGGGAAAATACAGAGGAAGATAGGTTAAAAATATAGAGACATATTAGGAGGTTAAGGGAATCTTAGAAATGTGGAGATAAAGAACATTATGATTTTCAAAAGCAAAATCAGGTGAATTAGATGGAAGTGGGCAGAGATAAGGTAGGGGTGCTAAAAATGTCTCTCACAGATACCTGTCTTCAATGAAGGAAGTTAACTGAGAGAAGAAGAGACTGGGGAGAATCAAGAAAGCAATTTGGGGCAGATTAATTTTAGTTGTATATGTGACTTCATAGTAGAAATAACCGCATTATCAGATACTTGTCAGAAGCAAATTTAGGCTAGTTACATACGTTTAAGATGAATAAAGACAACAGAAGCCATATAAATCAGTATGTAGATATACAAACAAGTTGAATGACGGCCGTCCTGATGCTTGTGGGAATTGTGTAAGCAGTATAGGGAAGAAAGATGGGCTGCTATGAGTTAACCCAGTGTACCTGAGAATAAATGCTAAGATGGTGTGAAGCGGGGAATGCAGGGACAGGGCAGTGGAAGAGCAGGTGAGAGATGTCGTGTTAATGGATCTGCATGAATGCATCCTTTGAAGGAACTGCCACCCAGCTCAGATACACTGCCAAATAAAGGTAATCCCAGTGGTCCAAAGCCTCCATGTTTAAAGAAGTTAGAAATAATGGGTTTCTGTAACTTTGCTGATACTGTGGCAAACATAAGCGATGTTTAAAGTCCTATATGAGTCTCATTGACTGCTCCACTAGTTTTCAGTCTCTGCTAGAATAGGAGGAGCCTTCAGACTATTTGGAACCTGGATAGGGGCTTAGGTAGCAAAAAATGGAGGAAGGAAAAAAATAGTCCCAAAATGGGACTGACTGTTTCACAAACAGAAATGGCCCAGGGTTTAATATGTTGCTGTCAGGTTTGACAAGGGAAGGCTAGAAATGTCCACTGGGCTTGCCCAAGAGAAATAGGTTATTGGTGACATTAGCAAGAGAAGCTCCTCTTCGGTGATATACAGACCCGTGCCACTAAAGAGGTGGGTACATTCAAGTTGTCTGACTTAGTGTGTGACCCGAGTGAACTGAAAGGAAATAAAACAAGCACACGTGCCAATGAGCTGAACAGTAAAACCAGGAAGACCCAAGTGTGGACAGTTGTTTTGAGAACTTGTTGAAATGGAACAAAATACAGTCAAACCTGAATGAGGGGACAGGAAGGAGGCCTTGGGGCTGACCCAGGAAAGTTCAGGCTCCTTAGTGAAAGACATTTGCAGTTCCTCTTTAGACAACAGAATAAAACCCTCCCTCCCCGCTTGAGAACTCAGGTGGTCAGATCAAGCATTTAGGTAGCAGTATATGACAACTTAGAAGTGAAAATTAACCACATATCACTTTTATCATCTTAGTTTTATTTTCATGGATTTGTATGTATCTTTATAGAAAAAAGTTATTTATTGTCTCTGTCTTGTTTATTTTAGCTTAAAATTCCATTTAACCTATTTCTCTAGGAACCCAAGAGATAGGAATTTTGGTGGCAAGACACACAAACACTTCCCTTGTGGCCTTTTTTTGTGATGTGATGCCATAGTGTTCTAATGAAAAGACCTCGTGGAGTCTACCAGCCCTGACCACTGGAAGAATCAGCAGTAGAATGTAGAGATGGTCAGACTCTCAGCACTGCACCCCACAAATAGAGACTGCATCTCAGGAATGTGACTTAGCCCATGTTAGTACTTCTCGTTTGTATTTTATCCTGCTCTGATGGTGCTACAAATATATTCCCTTTTAGAATGTGAAACACAGAAAGTATGCAAGGTGGAAGGCGACGTATATCCATAACTGCTTAAAGAATGGGGAGACTCCTCAAGCAGGCCCTGTTGGAATAGACGAAGATAACGGTATGTACTTATGAGTCCTAAGTAGAAATGTTCCTGTAGAATCTTGAGTTTTCAGATTTCAAGGTTTTCAGATGATACTGGTGACTACTTCATCTACAGTAATTATAAAACCAGGAACATAGGGACATTTAAGATTAAAGCCATACAGGTGCTGTCTGTCCATTTCAGCCAAGTGTCTTCACTGTCTCCTATATCTGCCCAGACTTCATCTCTGCATAGGAAAGTCAGTCCACTTTCAGTGTGACCTAGAAATGTTCCCAAACCCCAGTGAATATTGTATTAGTGCTGTGATGTTTTTGTGTGTTATTTTTAGTTGTTCTGTATTGGCCGGGAACAGGGTAATACTTTACATGGCTCCAAAAATTACAGATCATACAAAAGTGGGAAGTGAATTTTTAATTTCCATATACTCATCTTCCTAGATCCTACCAAAGCTCAGATAGTAAATACTTTACAGAGATTATTTTTTATAGAAGGAAGGAAGGGTACTCATATATAGATAGTCTCTTTTCCACACAATTTATAATACAGTGTTTTGCCCTTGACTTACAAAAGAAAATCTTTGTACAGGAGAATTTTGATATTATTACATAGTAAGTGGGTTTATACAATTTAATCATGAAAAATATGAAAATCTTATTATTTCTATCTGACCTGTAGTTAATATGGAAGGGAAAAATGTTTTTCCCTTTTTTTAAAAACAGATACTAGAAATGTAGTTAATATACCATTTTCGCTGAACTGAGAATAATCCAGATGATGCTTCCATTTTATGAGATGATTTGGGGGCATCTGTGGAGGTGATTATTTACAGCAGGAGTCACTAAGCTTTCTTAGTGGATCAGGAAGTATATATAAAGGATATAAGTGTATATATAAGTGTATAAGGATATGAACCACATATCTGTAGCAGAAATCTTAGATGGTCTTAGTAATAAAATCAAACCTGAGCCAGGTATTGGGGTGAACTGGAAGATCAGAGAACCAGAGCAAGCCACAGCTACCTCACCTCGCCGGATCCTCAGCTGGTCTTGTTTCCTCAGACTGGAGGCCTCTGAGTCCTCATCCAGAATGGGTCTCAGCTGAACTGCTTCTCAAAAGCCCGAATGGTTAACCGGACCAAATGCTTCTAGTTTCTGGTCCTCACGCCTTATATATCTTTCTGCTCTCTGCCTTACTTCCTGGGATTAAAGGCTCACTTTCTGAGATTAAAGGCGTGTGTCACCATGCCTGGCCTTTTCCAATGTGGCCTTGAACTCACAGAGATCCAGAGAGATTTCTACCTCTGGAGTGCTAGGATTAAAGGTGTGAGTGCCACCATTTTCTAGCCTTTGTATCTAGTGGCTCTTCTGTCTCTGACCCAAGATAAGTTTATTAGGGTGCACAATATTTGGGGTAACACAATACCACCACACATAGCCTTAGTACAGATGTTCAGTTCTGCTGTTACAATGAAGAAATGACTGTGGGCAGTGGGCAGACAGGTGTACATAGTTATGTTCAGTTTTCTGTTTGTCAGAGTTGGCCAACTACAGTCTAACTCGTTTTCTTATTGTGTTGAATAAAGTGACGAGAGTGTCCAACTTTGAAATAACTTTACATTGTGAATAAACCTCACTTGGCCATGATGTGTTATTTTTTTCTTACACAGATGAATTCCATTCATTGCTACTATGGTGATGAGAATTTTTGTGTTGATGATATTCATAACTCAAATTGTTCTAGAATTTTTTTGGGGGGGAGGATTAAATTGTTATACTCACGGGGCAGCTCATAAATACCTGTGTCTCCTTCAGGGGACCCAGCTACCAGCTTCTATGGGTATCTGCACTCACTTGGACATATCTGACAAGATACACATAAAAAATGTTATACTTCATAAATAAAATTTGAAAATTTCTGGTCCATTTCTGTTCCTTGTTTTAAATAGGTTGAAAGTTATCTGCTCTTTTAATACTTAGTAGAAATATTCTATGTATAGGTCTATGCCTATAATTCTAGCCCACAAGAAGACTGAGGCAGAAGGATTTCTCTGAGCAGAAAGACAACCAGGTTTATGTAACCAGACATTACCTGAAGAAAATTAGAAGAACGAACGGGGGAGGGAGGGCCGCGGAGGAGGAGTCAGCTGTTGTGAAACACTCTTTGGCATAATTCTTAATCTGTGTCCACCCACTAAATGAATTTATACTAATGAGGCAAGTACTTCTCTCAACCCATTTTAGTAACCTCTAGGTGTGAATATGGTCCTTCCCATTAGCTCTAAGTTACAGTTTGATATAGACCTATATACAAGATTGCATGCATCCACTGTCAAATGTAACAATGATGCTGAGTATCTGGCTCAGGGACCATTGTGGAAAAGGGGGTGGAAATATTGTATGAGCCAGAATACTAGGAAGTGTTCTATGAAACAGTCTCTCCTAGAAATGGCTCTGTAAAGAAGACCATGGCAATATCAGGGAACATGTTAATAAGGAAAAAGGAAAACTTTGCAGGGTCTCACCCCAAGACAAAGAACTACAGAAACAGACTCAGCAGGTTGCACACACACACACACACACACACACACACACACACACACACACATATATATATATGTGTGTGTGTGTATGTATGTATATATATTTGTGTGTGTATGTGTATATATATATATATGTCCACACATGTGCATACATCTGTGTGTGCATGCACACACGTGAGTGTGAGACTAATCGAACAGAGATTATCAGCTTGAGGATCCTGAGGTATATGGAAAGGACTCAAGTGAGGCTAGCTGAGAGGGGCTGGAGGTAAGAAGGAGGAAGTGATATAATTCTATTTCAGTTAAAAACATTTAAAAAAATAAAAGAAGAGTTAACAGGTGCCACATAAGCACTAGGAAGAATGCTGAAATCATTAATTAGTGGGACAAAACAAACCAAAAGATAACTGTGTACTTACTAAAAGCTAGAGCTCTGATTTACTGAATGACCTGTTAGTGCTGTCAAGGATGCTGATCAGCTGTAACTCATAGATGACTTACTGGAAAAGGAAAGCAAAGGTGTTAAATTGCGAATACGCTTAACATGAAGCCTAGCAGTCTAGTTATTTCCCCTAGAGCAGGTGTTCTCAACCTGTGAGTCAGACCCCTATGGGGTCAAATGACTCTTTCAACGGGTTGCCTAAGAAATATCAGAAAAATAACAGATATTTACATTACAGTTCATATCAGTAGCAAAATTATAGTTGTGAAGTGTAGCAACAAAATCATTTTATGCTTGAGGGGTTACCACAACATAAGGAACTGTATTAAACCCGCTGCCCAAAAGAAAGACAGATATATTTACACAAAGGACTGTATGTGAATGTTTGTAAGAACTTTATAATTACCTAAAATCTAGAAATAACTCAATAATACTAGTTTTTGAACACATTGGCTGTGGAACGTCCTTGTAGTTGTATACCACTGCTTTTTTAACTTTCATTAGTTGTTTTCTTTGACAGTTTCATACATGTACATAGTGATCTGATGCTCATAATGTCTCCTGATGCTTTATTATTGCCCATACTCTCTAAACACCTCCAGATCCCTTTTGCCTTTATTCTCTCTACAAATCTCTTCCACATTGGTCTGTTTTTGTTTGTTTTGTGACTGGCTAATTTGAACAAGGGCCATTTGTGTAACCATGGATTTGGAACCAGTCATCAGGACGCAGTCAGCTCATCAGTGAGAATGTGTCTTCTCCCCAGAATCTATCATCAGTAGTCCGTCATTCGGAAGGATGGTGGGAGCCCCTTCTCCCCCGTGATTAACTCTGGACAGGCCCAGTCATCTCCAGGCCCGTTGTTGGTGGCTCTGGTGCTGTGAGATTGTGATCGCATTAGCTGTGTCATTCTCTGAAGTTAGCATTTCCCAGACCTCCTCCCCATTTTCCTGATGTTAGTCTTCTTCTGCTCTTCATGATGGTCCCTGAGTTTTCAGGGGGTGATATAAATGTCCTATTTGGGGCCAACCACTCAGTTAGCACCTTGAGTAGCAATGAGTCTCATATTCACCACCATTCATTGTAAGGAGAACCATCTTTGAGCTAGGCTGAGAGTAATATTTTTCTTTGAGTGTCTCTATTTCATTTCTGTAGTGTAGGAAAAGTTGTATTTCTGCAATAGTCCATCATTGAGGAAAATCAGGAGCTCAACAGGAGCTTGAAAGCAGAAGCCATGGAAGAACACTGCTTGCTGGGTTACTTGGAAACTTATACTTTGCTTGCTTTTTTATCTAGCCCAGGGCCCCTTGCCCAGGGAATAATGCTGCCTGCCCACAGTGGGCTGGACTCCTACATAAATAATAATCAAGGCAATCCTTTGTAGACATGCTCATAGGCCAATCTGATTTGAGCAAACTTTCAATTGAGACCCTCAAGTGACTCTAGGCTATATCAAGTTGACAATAAAGGCTAACTAAGACACATATAAATATAGATATTTAGAAGGAGGCCTTGTACCATGACAGTTAAGTTAATCAGCAGTAGTAAGTTCTCCCCAGGGCCTGAAATTGAGCCATGTGTTTCTGGGGTTGGTTTTCCATTACCAGGCCTGGGTTCCCTGCTGTGGAGCTGACTTCATATCCAGGTAGAGATCAGGTAGTTACTCCCATAACTCTCATGCAATTATTGTACCACTTGATACATCTTGATTGCCTTTTTGTTTTTGTTTATGATATTGTAGTTTGTAGGGCTTAGAGCCAAGTAAAACCATTGGTGCTAACAGCCTGTTTTTCAGCTTTCAGGAGGTACTATAAAGGTTATTTATAGTTAGTTATAGTTTATGTTAGAAAGAAACATCCAATTCAGTTCTAGCTTGATTTATCTGTATCTTGGAATCAACATGTATAATGTCTTTAGTAATGGAGTCTTCTCCTCGGGGTCTGGTAGCAAGATTGTGTATTGATTTGGTAGTCTTTAGGGATTCCTTGACAAACAGTTCATTGGGGGTATCCCACACCTGACATTGGTGTTTATATTGAATAGCCCATTATCTTTAGGAGCAGCATTATCCCACTGGCAAGGTATCTCTCTTTTGGAGTTTCTCCCTCTTCCCCCAGCCTTGACTTCCTGCCCCATCCCCTTCTGTTTACAAAGTAGTAGATGTCCATATGGCTTTTTTACATGCCCCTCCATTAGCTTAACCCTTTCTCCCTCACTCATCTTCCCCATCCTTGCCTAATTTTCTACTTCTAGTGTTCCTCGTCTGTTTTCATATTACCTGTTCTCTGTTACCCATCCCCTCCCTTAAAGCATCCCTCACCCCAGGTGCACTTTTCTACTTTCCTGACTTCCAGATACTGCAAGTGAAACACACAGACCTAAGGATTTGAAGCTAGGATCTACATAGGAAAATGAACATTCAACATTTGTCTTTCTGGGGCTGAGTTACTTCACTCCATGTAACCTTTTCAGTTTCATCTATTTACCTATAAATGTAATAATTATGCTTTTCTTTACAGCTAAATGAGATTTCATTGTGCATATGTACCACATTGTCACTAGCTATCTATCCATTGATGGACGTCTAGGCTAATTCTGTTTCCTAGTTACTGTGAACAGAATGGCAGTGAATGGATGAACAAGTGTCTCAGGAGTAGAATATAAAAGTCCCTGGGTGGTATCAGCTTAAGGCTTTCCCTGGATCTGGGTGTTGCCTCAGTAAGCCTGTCACAGAAGCTGTGTCTAGGCCCCTAAGCCTGTCATGGCTGCTGTGTGGTCAAGCTAGTTTGGTGCCCCTTCACATGTTCCACTACTGCCTGGCCTCTATACTTAATCTAGTGGCTTGTTCTGTCCTCTGATCTTCAGGCAGATTTTATTAGGGTACACAGTATATCACCACAGTCGAATAATCTTCCATGTGTTAATGTACTACACTTTCATTATCTATTCATCAGTTGGTGGACATCTAGTCTGTTTCCAATTTGTGATTATTAAGAATAGAGCAGAAATGTACATAGCTGAGTAAGAATCTCTATAGTAAGATGTACAGTCCTTTGGGTATGTGCCCAAGCTGGGTCTTGAAGTTAGATTGAATTTCAACTTTTTGAGGAACCTCCATGCTAGTTTCCTTAGTGGCTGTACCAATTCCTCCTATTCCTCACTTTTTCTTCTATTATATTCTGGGTATCTAGTCTTACGTTGAGGTCCTTGATCCATTTGGAGTTGGTTGAGTTTGATACAGGGTGATAAATACGGATCTATCTTCATTCTATGTGCAGCAATCCAGTTTATTGGCACCATTTGCTGAAGAAGCTGTCTTTTCTCTAGTGCATATTGTCAGCATCTTTGTTAAAAAAAATCAGGTGTCTTTGGGTATTTGGGCATGTATCTGGGTCCCCCCCCCCCATATGATGTTTTATTACTATAGCTCTATAATACAACTTGAAATGTGGGATGGTGGTACACAGTTTATTATTCAAAATAATTTTAACTATCCTGAGGTTTTTGTGTTTCCATATGAAGTTGAATATTGTTTTCAGCAGTTTCTATGAAACATTATGTTAGAATTTTGATGAGGATTATCTTGAATGTGTAGATTGCATTTGGTAGGATGGTCATATTCATAATATTAATCTTACTGATTCTTGAGTATATTGCAGATCTTTCCATCTTCTGGTGTCTTCTTCAATTTCTTTCTTCAGTACCTTAAAGTTTTTCTTATATGAGTCTTTTACTTGCTTAGAGAGTTCCCAGTACATTTTGGGGTGTTGTTGTGAAAGATACATTACCTTTATTTTTTTCTTATCCTCTTTGTCATTTGTATATAAGAAGGCGTTTTTTTGTTTTTTGTTTTTTGGTGTGTGTGTGTGTGTGTGTGTGTGTGTGTGTGTGTGTGTGTGTGTGTGTGTGTTTAATACTGTTACTTTTACTGAAAATGTTCATCAGCTTTGGGAGTTTCCCATTGGAGTCTTTAGCATCTTTTATGTATAAAATCATATCATCTGCAAATAAGGATCCTTTGCCTTCTTCCCTATTTGCATCCTCTTGATCTCCTTCATTTGTCTTCGAATGGGAATGGAGGGAATATCCTCGTTTTATCCTTGATTTTAGTGAAAATGCTTTAAGTTTCTCTTCATTTAAGTTGTTGTTGGCTGTGGACTTGCAGTAAATTGCCTTTATTATGTTGAGGAATGTCCCTTGTATCCCTAGCCTCACTGGAGCTTTTATAATAAAGGGATGTTGCATTTTGTGAAAGATCTTTTTTTTATATAATGAAATGATCATGTATATTTTTGTCTGTCTTAGTTGGGGTTTCTATTGCTGTAAAGAGACACCATGACCCTCTTATAAAGGAAAACATTTAATTAGAGCTGACTTACAGTTTCAGAGGTTTAGTCCATTACCATCATGGCAGGAAGCATGGCTGTGTGCAAGCAGACATGGTGTTGGAGAAGGAGCTGAGAGTTCTACATCTGGATCTGCAGGCAACAGGAAAAGACTGTGACACACTGGCCAGGCTTGAGCATCTGAGACCTCAAAGTCTGCCTCTGCAGTGTTACACTTCCTCCAACAAGGCCAGTGGTCTCCTCATAGTGCCAATCCCTAACTGGATGGGCACTTGCCCTGAGGTCACCACTCCTTCTATTCCATCTAATATCAGGCATTTCTTTAATCTGTTTATCTCTTTGAACACGGGATTTAGCTCTATTCTACTTCCTAGTGCCCCTTTGCTCCTTGAACTGTACATTTTGTATTTGCTCTTGCTCAACTTGCTCTTTTTCATTATAGTTCTTCATAAGAGTGAACACTAATAGCCACAGGACAGAATCAATACTAGGCTGTTTTGAAATTTCCTCTGCAGTGTTATTAAACTAAAACTCTTCAGTTTAGCTTCAGACAGACTTTTTGGACAAGGGCAAAAAACCAACCACATTCTTAGCCAAAATATCACAAGAATGGTCTCTAGGCCATATCTGGAACCTCTTGAGTCAGGCCCCAACAGTTCAAATCCCCTCAGCACCACTGTCTTCCATGTTGCTAATAGGATGGCCCATTAAGCTCTACTTAAGTCATTCTACTGCTTTTCTAACCCAGAAGTTCACATTTCTCCAAACACCTATTATGATATACATATCTGAATATGAAATTTCTTTTTTAATTTTTATTAATCTTTGAGGAATAGTAATAATCATTTAGTAGTCTGCACATAGCAAACATTAAATAAAAGACAACTGTCAAAAAACGGTCCATTTTGGACAACACAGATGTGACCTATTTTCCCAAAAATGTCCTTATTTTTCATTTGAAGTTTGTTTTAAAGAAAGAAATGTCATGTGTAAAGAATGTGTAGCCAGGCAGTGGTGGCTCACGCCTTTAATCCCAGCACTCAGAAGACAGAGCCAGGCAGATACCTGTGAGTTTGATGCCAGCCTGGTCTACAGAGCAAGATTCAGGACAGGCACCAAAACTACACAGAGAAACCCTGTCTTGGAAAAAAAAGAAGAAGAAAGTGTAGACCTGGTGGGTACTGTCCTAAAGAAGTGATATTCACTGTCATCAAAAACTTTTTAAGAAAATTAAAAAAAAAAAATGTATAGCAATGATTTCAAGAAGTAGCCTGCTCATTAGATGCATTAGATGGAATTTTGTTTGTAGGTTTTGTTTGTCATGTGAGTGGAGGAAAATAAAAATACTTAGCAATTGTATTTCCAAATGCCTGCTTCAAGATTGTATATGTATTATATACAGATGTTGAAGAAAATGAAGATGTTGGTGCCACCTCTCTGCCCACTCAGCCACCTCAGCCATCATCATCTTCAACATATGACCCAAGCAACTTGGCACCAGGCAGCTACAGTGGGATACAGATTCCTCCAGGTGCACATGCTCCAGCTAATACGCCCGCAGAAGTGCCACACAGCACAGGTATGAACTCAGTACTGTGTCCCCATTTTCATAAAACCTAGAGTTCTGAAACTGGAGGTAGCTCGGTGGGTAAGAGCAAGCTGCACAAACCTGAGGACCTTCGTTCAGATCTCAGCACCCACAGAAAAAGTCGGCCATGGCCACATACACAGCTATAACCCAATATTAAAGAGTGGAGACAAGAGGATATCTAGGGCTTGCTACTAGCTTAGCTCCAGGTGTTTTTAAGAGACCCTACCTTCAAGGAAGGCAGAGAGGAGTAGAGCAGAGGATACCCAGTGTCCTCTGTCCTCAGCACACTCATTTGCATGCACATACACATACACCACACAGGGACCACACATACATAGGCACCGTGCACTTGCACCACACCCTCACACGTACATATGTTCCACACACAACACACGTGCACCACACACTCAGAAATGCATATGCCCACACGCAACACACATTCATGCATGCACATACACCACACTCAGGCATACACACACAAAATGTTTTTTAGAAATAACAGCACTCATATTTGGTCCACTTAATGATTTTAATAAAGTTTGATCCTTAAATTCTGTTTACTTTTGTTTTAGTATTTATTGCAGCCTAAATTTTGGAGCAGTGACAGGTGCTTATATGTATTGATTACTGTTTGCTTCTTATTTACTAATAATGTTTTCTGTACATTATAGAAATGGCTCTTTTCTTTTTGTCTTCTTCCCTGTCTGTCCCCCGCACTGTAGCTTGAGAATACGGATGACAATAGAATCACAAGTGAACATAACAAAAATATGACTTAGAAATGACAAGAAGAGATATCTACTATCTTTGAATTCATCAGTGCATTATAAGTGTTTTATAAATAAAGATGTAACAAACTTCTGTCCAGTGATGTCAGTGTCGGTAGATGAAGACTGTTGCACATAGGCACAGGCACGCTTCCTTCCACTTGTATCATTGACAGAACATCTCCAATAGAGAGCCATTTACAACTAATATTTAAGCTCTGGTATAATTTGGGTTTGTTTATTGATTTTTTTTCCTAAAAATTGTTCATAAAATTTTGCTTTTATCTCAGCACCAGAATAACCTGTGGTGTTGATCTGTACAGTATCTCTCCAGTTTTAGTTAATGGAATGAGAGTCAACACAAGAGCCCGGATTATACTATTTCTGGGACCCTGTACTGCTTACTTCATGGGCTTTTCTTTGTCAGCCTCATTTTATCTGTACCACTTAGGTCATCTTGCATGGGTTTCATAATAGTTAAAATTTATTTTCCCCATTAAAATAGCAATTATATTTTTCTTCCTATTTTGAAACCTCATGTTTTCTGTTTATATTGCCAATACATTGACTTTATTATTGAAGAAGTTGATCATTTGTTATCACTGGTCTCTCTTATGTCCCCACTTAGCATAGTTCACCCAGCTTTCAAGGCTTGATGGTGTGTATCGTGATATAGCTAGTGCAGCCCGTGTGAATTTGTTTTGTACGTACACTTCATGAACAAACACTGTTTTAAATACATCATTCTAACCTAGAGTGCTTATTCAAAATCATCTACCCCAGTGTATCCGCCATAGGTGAATGCTGGTCAGACTGTACCTGAAAGAGTAGACACGGCGTTCTTACAGAAGCATGCCGTGCATTTGAAGTCATATCAATCACTATGTCTGTTTTTTCCCTCTAAACCATAAACTTGAAATAGCTCTACTGGCATCTACTTCTCTCACCCTGTGTTTTTCTTCTTTCTAAGATGAAATTAGTATCATACTTATTCCTCGTGTTTATTTTAATTATTAACAGGGGAAAAGCATAAAATTGACTAATACTTATCCATAACACATAAATAAGCATTCTACAAATCAGCTTCTTTTCCATTTCTTTTTTCTTCTTCCTTCTTTCTCTATGCTAAGGAGATGGAACTCTCAATAGCAAGTTAATGGGTATTGAAAATCATTTTGTAAATCAAGACAAAAGTCATATGTCAGTGTAGGATGTACAGAAAGATTACCTGAAAAGTACTACTGTAGAAACAGGTCTGAGGACAGCACTGTAGTAAAGTCACTCACCCTGGGTAAAATATAGACTTGCTTTGTGTGTGAAACAACAAACCATACATTTTGTAGGAGGACTGCTTAATTGACCTATATATAATTGCCATATTTGTACAATGAAAACATTCCATTCTTGATAGCTTCATATGGTCCTACTAATAGTCAGCATTTATTGTTGGGAACATTCATGACAATAATATTAGGAGATGAAATGTAGGAAATATTCTAGTGTTGTGGGTTATTTTTCACTCTTTGACTCTCTGGGGGACTCAAATAATCACACACAGATACTTTTTCTCACTTATAAATGCCCGGCCTTAACCTGGTTTGTTTCTTGCCAGCTTTTCTTAAATTGTCCTATCTGGGCTTTTATCTTTCTGTATACCTCCCTTTACTTCTTATTCCGTGGCTTTCTGTGTAGCTGGGTGGCTGACCCCTGGAGTTCTCTCTCTCCTCTGCGCCTCAGTCTCTTCCCTGATTTCTCCTCCTATTTATTCTCTTTGTCTGCCAGCCCCTCCTATCCTTTCTCTGCTTAGCTATTGGCCATTCAACTCTTTATTAGACCATCAGGTGTTTTAGATAGGCAAAGTAAGACAGCTTCACGGAGTTAAACAAATGCAACATAAAAGAATGCAACGCATCCTTGCATTCTTTAACAAATGTTCCACAGAATAAGCGAATGTAACACACGTTAAAATAGTATTCTACAATATTCTAATGTTCACAGTACATTTTAGTCTGGTTAACAAAGGCGTGTGGTGGTTGTGTGTTCTCGCTTCCTCTTTCCATGTGCATACATACAAATGTACATAAAAAATATAGCATTTTATATATCCTAATTACCCTTTCCCCATCCTCCTCTTTCATTCATCAGAGAAAGAAATGAAAGTAAAACTTTGGAGAAACATACTCAGTGAAGAACGAGAATTTGAACTAAAGACTCTGGCTTCATTTAGTTAGTTGCTACCTCCTTTCTGTCCTTTGTGATCCTTGGTAGACAATGATCTAAAAGCTATTAAAATCCAAAGCTGCTTTCTCATTGACGTGCCTCTATTTAGTTATTAAGTTTAGATGTTGGATCTCCTCTTAACTCCAGGGTTTTTTCTGTGGCATTTAATTCAGTTCATAACTGTCAAATAAAAGAAAGCAATAATGTTTTTAGTTTATAAACATAACAGATGTTTCCCCTCTTGCTCACTTTAAGAGTGATTTACCTTCTCTCATGAAATGGGTCCAGGATGCACTTTTATGGAAGGGAAATCCTTCAGATAGCTGAGAAGAATAGTATGTACTCATTTACAAGTCTTAGTTCTTCCACAAGAAAGCAGTGGGTGCAAGGAGGGCAGGAATAGAGGTTGGTTAGCAAGCGGTGTTGCCTCTGTGCCCAAGCCACTGAGCAGACATCACCTGGGGACACTAATAATGTTCACTTTATCTCTCAAAACCTGTGTTTCTGCAGTCTGTGTTACAGAAGGCCTTAGCAGAAAGTCAAACTACATAAGTATGATAGAATTGTGTTAATGCTGCTAACTTTTTTTTTCTTTCTGAAACAGGGTCTCACTATGTAGCCCTGACTGGCCTGGAGCTCTCTATGTAGATAAGCTGGCCTCTAGCTCACATAGGTCCTCCTGCCTCTGTCTCAGGAGTAGTAGGGTTAAAGGTGTGCTCCACCACATACAGCCAGTGACAGCCTTGTCTCAGGAGTAGTAGGATTAAAGGTGTGTTCCACCACATGCAGCCAGTGCTAGCCTTTTTGCCTCTTACCAAGTTACACTGCAGACCTGAGCTCTGTCAGGAGTTGTGGAGGGAGAAGTTACGCTCTTGGGTTCTGTGATGTGTCATTTGCTTGTTGACATCCTGGCCTGGGGTTTTCTCTCAGGGCCATTTCCCCTGGTTACATGGAGGGTCTGTTCCATCTGGTCTCCTACTTCCTTACCTTTGCTTCTCTTATTCATAGGTTAGAGCAGCAGTGTCTTCCTCCCTTTGCAGTACATTGCAAGGCTCTATTTAAATTTGGGCATCTATCTTCTTTAGCTTCCTAACCACCTCTCATGTCTCCCTTCTCAAGAGTTTCTTTCTGTGCCATTTAGTCTATAAAACAAGTCAGTTAACTAAAAATGCTACAATATTCTTGAACATGTATGGATACTTTTTAATATGCTGCTTAAGCATAACTTAGAAGTTACTTTCTGGCATAATACTTGCATTTTATTGAGTAGCAGAAAAGAGTAAATACCCAAGCTCACTGCTTTCCAATGGGAGTAGATTTTAAAAGGATCACCTCACTCCAGCATATTGCAATCTAAAAGTTGCAACCATTGTGCATATTTCAAGAGGGACTTATCCAAATCCAAAACAGAAAAAAAATAGCAGACTACAGCATGCAGTGAATAAATAGTAACCTGAAAACATTACCAACCTACCAGGTATTTTTGAGCTTACGTCAATCCAGTATCTGGTGGCGGCAAAAGGGCAGACCTGCCTCTGCTTCAAGGCAGACAGGAAGAGACCTGTTCAGACTGTTGTGCCTCGGGCATGTGCAGCTGAATGACTGACCAAAAACTTAGTAAAGTTCACACTGCCTTTTCAAATATTCACATGAAATAATCCTGCATAACTAAGCAGTCTCTACGAACCCTACTGTGTTCTTACTACAGCTTGTTACATACACATCATTATTTGAAAGTTATCCTAGGATGCCGGCCAGAGAGTGTGGGCTTCCATGAAGGAGTTGATTGAAAGATTTAATCTGTGGAAGAGTATGAGTTGCTTGGGAAGGGATGTCTTACCTGCTTAAAGGATGTGGACAGCCATTGCACTTCATCTATGGCTGCTGCAAAGCACTAGACTTGACAAACAGCCTCTCAGAACTCCTAGCTTTCTGACAGTCACTGTGTCGCCCGGGCTGGCCTAGAACTCAGAGATCTGCCTGCCTCTGCCTCCTAAGTCCTGGAATTAAAGGCATGCACCACCATGTTCAGCTTTCTAACATTCTTTTTATTGTTAACTCTATATGTGCCTTTAAATATTTGTGGGAAAAATATGTCACGTTATTAGCTTAATATTCTTTGTTAGCACTCACCAAAATTAAACAAAATGTCACTGAATTGTTCACTGAAAATTTCATGTGTCTCCTGGCTTTGCAGTGATAGGTCCATCCACTGTAGTACTGTGTGTAGTAGGAAAAGTGTAAAAGCATGATTTTGTTAGTAATGAGTTGTTTTGTAAATCATGATCTATGCATTGAAAAGGAGCATTGTAGGACCATTAAAAAGAAAGCAAGGATTGTATGTATTTATCTGGAATTACACCTGCTAAACCGTATGAACTACAAAGCACACCGAGCAGTATGCTATGCAGAACTAATTACTATTTGCAAGACACATGCTATACAGAATTGCTTTTTCAGAGATCACTTGGCTTCTGGGATTAATCAGCTTGTCTTTGTTTACTTTCCCTGCTGACTGAATCATTGTAGTCTTCTTTTGTAAAATTTCAGTGCATTCTGCTAATTTTTTAGATGAGTAATAGGCTACATCTAGAGTACAGTGCTAGTTATTCATTCACTATGACAGCGTTGACAAGCGTTATTGACAGCGTTAATAGGAAGTCAAGACAATCACTCATTTACCTATAAGAAATACCATCTTTAAAACATTAACTGGAGAATTGCAGTGTTCCATTTCACACAGTTATGAACTGTACTCTTCTGCCAACTTAAAATAAATCATAATTATGTCTCACTTTTTCCTCAAGGCTACTTATCAGGCTAAGAGATTAAAAGGTGGGAAGGGAGTCTCTTCCTTTAAAGATATGTGGCAAGCTTTAATTAAGAAGCAATGTGACCACTTGGTCATATACATATAAGTATTATGATATGGGATGAGCAGGTCACTGTTCTATGTTTATGAATACATACATATATAATGTATAACAACAATTAAAGAAAATGAGGCATTGAATTTGAGAGAGAGAAGAGGGGTACATAAAACTGGTTGGAGGGGGGAAAGAGAAGGGGGAAATGGTGTGATTATATCTTAATTTCAAAGAATAAAAAACAATTTGAAGCACTAGTCATGAAGGTCAACACTCATATTTTCCTGCATATTTTCTGTTCCAGTTTGTAAAATAAGTTCATATTAATGGCTCAGAATGAAGAAAATATTGAAATAGTGAAATAATGCCCAACCCTTGGCTTCTTTCCTAATACTTTATTAGGGGATGAAGCACTTTCTCCCTATCTCTGGTTTTGATTCACAGGTGTAACGAGTAATACAGTGCAACCTAGTCCACAGACTGTTCCAGCCATCGATCCTGACCTGTATGCAGCTTCCCAAGGTGAGTTATCTGGCTTTCTGTAGGCTGCATTGTGTCTCTCCTTATTCGGAGTGGTGTTTGTAACTGTTCCTTGGGTGTACCGTAGAAATTTAAGTATAGAGGATATTCAAAAGAATCTCTTCACTGTCTGCTAGATTGTCAAGTGAACCAGCATCCTATAAGGTGGTCAGAGAAACAACATCCAACGATACTCTGTTTTCTTTTCTTTGCTGTTCTTTTCTCTTTGGTCTGTACTAGATATAATGACACAGATGTCTAGCCACAACTACAGTGAAAGTTTATGCTCAGTTACTTTCCTTCATTTCAAAATCACTATGTATTGTCATTTTGATTTGCCTTATCTGCACTACATTATTACATTATCCAAAAAGGAAAGAGCTAACCATGATGAAAATCAGCCGTCTGTGACTCAGTGGTTCAGTATTTGATTGACTCATGATAGGTTGATGTAATCTTCTTTACTTTTCTGACTTCTCTCTACTTTTTGCCTCTAGTTAGATTTGAGGCATATTTTGATTTCTCACTCAGAGTTCAAGTTCTTCTTATTGCTCATGGAAAACCAGAGCATGGTACTGGCATAAACCATATACCAGAGTAACAGAATGGATGTCAGGGAATGAACTTAGACCTGTGCATCTCCAGTTAACCTGTTCTTGACAAAGGGGCGAAAGACAGCCTCTTGAGTAAATGGTGATGGGAAATTGGATATCTCCATGCAGAAGGTTAATGTTATCCTCTTCCAACTCTTGAACAGAAATCAAGCAAAAATCTTTTGAAGACAAGACCTCACACTTTGAAATTACTGGAGAAAAGCAGAGATGAAATACTAGTAGACATTGGTGGGCCAGTGACTTGATGCGTATATGACTCTTAAAGGACAGGAAATGAAGGCAGAAGTTGACAAATGGTATTAACCCCAAAGTAAATCAGGGAACTGTGAAGAGACAGCCCATAGAATGGAGACGTATTTCCTAATTCATCAACTGACGAAAGACTAATGTGTAGAATAGTTAAGTAAACTAAGAACTGTAACCAATAATAGGCTCATTTCAAAATTAGCAAGTTGTAGGGCAGTGGTGGCAAATGCCTGTAATCCCAGCACTCAGGAGGCAGAGGCAGGTGAATCTCTGAGTTCAAGGCCAGTCTGGTCTACAGAATGAGTTCCAAGACAGCCAGGGCTACACACAGAAACCCTGTCTCAGGAAAAAAAAAAAAAAAATTAAGTGATCTAAACAAACACTTGCAAGAAGTTAAAATGGCCAACAAATATATATAAATGATTAATATCCTTAGCTATCTGTGAAATGCAAATCAAAACTACATAAATAGTAATGATATGGAGATTAAGGAACTTTTGTACACTATTATAGGAGATTGGTTAAGACAGTCATTGTGGGTTGTGAATAATAGTCCAGAGGTGACACTAGAACAGATCTAGCATTGGATCCCGCTATCCTACTTCCAGGTTTCCAGCTATATTTTCAAAGGAAATAAATCCATAAACTAAAAAGGGAATTGTACACTGTATTCACATATTGCTATTCACAGTAGCTAAGATAGAATCATCCTGGATGGCCATCGGCAAAGTAGCGAGTAAAGAAAATCTGGTATTTGTGTCTTGGTTAGGTTCCTGTTGCTGTGCTAAAACATCATAACCAAATCAAACTGGGGAGGAAACTGTTCTTTTCGTACTACACTTATCTATCGCCCATCGCCAAGGGAAGTCAGGGAAGGGACCTAGAGGCAAGAACTGAAGCTAAAGCCCTGGAGGAATTCTGCTTACTGGACTTCTCCTCATGACTTACTCAGCTTACTTTCTGAGAGCACCCAGGACCACTTGGCAGCCCAGAAGTAGTGCCGCTCACAGTGAGCTGGGCCCTCCCCCATCTGTCAAGAAGATGTACCACAGGCTTGCCAATGGCCCAGTCTGGTGGGAGCAGTTTTTTAGTTGAGGTTTCTTCTTCCATAATGACACTGTTGTGTCAAGTTATCATAAAACTAGCCAGCACAGTATGTAAATTGTAAGCACAAAGTGTGAGCTATTGAATCATGAAGATGAGTGAAATCCTATGGTTTGCTCCCAAATGAATGGAACCAATTGAACTATAGGACATGAGCCAAAAGAAGCCAGGATAGGAAGACAAGCACTGTATTATCTCATACATAAAGCTGAACATTTAAGTGGCAGGTGATGTTCTGTGCATGCTATTTGCATGTGTTCAGATAGCATATGAACCCTATTAGTAGATGCACCTAGCACCTGATAATCAAAATTTAAATTAAGTTAGGATAAAACAGGGGTTAAGTCATTGAAATTGAAAATAAAAACTTAAAAAAAAATTACCCAAAACAGACCACATGCCTAAAAGTAGAATACCCCTTGGTGCTTTTCCAAAGTAGAGAACCTGTCCACCCAGAACACTGCATCCAAGTGTTGGTGCTATCTTTATTCATTTTTACCAAAACTGAGAAGCAACTAAGATCTCTATCCTTGATAAAGGGATAAAGTGTAGAATACACAGATGATACATCATCCTGTGTTAAATACAAATGAGTTGTCTAGCCTTTTAACAGAAGGAAAGGAAAGGAAACTTCAATGTCTACTACTAAGTGGAATATATTACTAAGTGAAAAACCAGTCCACTGGCTCACTAGTCACTTGTTTTATTAGGCTAAAAGCTCCACGCTAGTGTACTTAGGTGAGCCCACATTGTCAGGAGCTGGGACGTGTCTTACTAAAGACAGGTCAAAGTTTAGTGAATGAGCAGATGGCCGAAACTAGAACTTGCTCTGTGGTGAAATTTGTCATTGCACCTTCTCCCTGGTGGCTTTCATATTAAATAAAATGCTTGCTTCCAGTCCCAGAGAACAAAAGAACACAATAAACACAAAAGGACTCCATACTGTGTGATCCCAACTATGACACAGAAGAGGCAAGAGAGTGGAGGCAGTGAAGAGGTCGATATTTGTCAGTCATGGAGAGGAAAACAGGCATGGATAGGATAGAGAACAAGAATCTCCCTGCTGCGAGGAAGGATTCTGTTAGTAACAGGTGTTGTATATATTGGTTCAAGCTCACTGAATGTACAAAACCAAGAGGGAACCACACAGTAGCCTCAGGATGATCACAGTGTGTCAGTGAAGGTTTAATCACTTTGATCACTACTACTGATGCTGCAAATGGAAGAGCTTTGCATGTTTGCAACAGGGATTATGAGAAAGTCTGCCTGCCTCTCAATTTTGCTGTGAACTTAGAACTACTCTAAAAATTGTCTATGTTCAGAAAAGCAATACAGATTTCTATACTGGCTCCTCATGCCATCACCACCATCTGTATTTCCTGTGCCCTTTCCCCTTACATATCCCCTTAGTAGTGTTTAATAACTATCATGTTTCAGAAGCATACCTGTTGTGCTAATGTGTAAATGCATTGATACTGATGTATATAAAATACTGTTGTAATGAATTTGTGACTGCTCCCAATGGGGGGAAAAATGGAAAGGAAAAATTTCAAAGTCAAGTATTTTTTACCCTGTATATTATTAGAATATGAATAAAAACTTACCTCTGTTGTTTGAGTCTTAAAATGTTACAATATCTGAAAAATATTTAATGTTGTTATTACCTAAAACAACAAAACTGCCTGTATCCATTATTGCTCATGCCGTAATTGGCATCTTTGGCAGTGACTTTTTATAAAGATTCAGATCTGTGCTTCTGTTTGCCTGTGTCTTGAGTGATCTGTTCAAATCAATAATGGAGTATGTTCCAGTGATATTAGCCAAAGCCTTCTAATTTCTAGAACTATTTACATCAGTTGGAAAGACCCAATCTTGGAAATATTTCCAGTTATGCATCCTATCCTCTGTAGTGACATTAGATAAATGAATCCTGGGAACAGAAGGATGCTTTTGTCAATGTAGTATTCAGTGATTTCGCTTTCCCTCTGAAAATGTCTTTGATGCCATGCTTGACCCACTGTCCTTACCACAGCAGCAGAGACTGGCAGCTAAGCAGCTGTCCTCTGCCTGTTCTGGCCCTGCTCTGAAGAGTGGAAGCCTCATATAAGATGGTTTTGGTCCAAAGCCGTCTTCACCGAGTCCCAGACTGCCTGAGAGAGATGCCAGGTTAGACATCACTACCTGGACCATGTGGCGCTTTCTCACCTGTGCTCCGTAGAGAAAACCACTTTTACTTGGTTCAGTAAGACTGTTTGTATGACACTGAGTATAAGATTAGGTACACTGAATTAAGCTGCCTCCTTTCTTCTTTCTTCTACCTTCGCTATTGAAGTTTTATGTTTTCATAGAATCCTAAGTAGGGGACAGAGTTTATTTTTAATTCATAATAAAAGGTAAGTTCTTATATTTCATTATGGGTGACTTAATTATATTTCTTAAATGAAGGAAAGCCTGGTGTGTTACAAAAGTTAATATTTTGCATGGTTCAGTTAAGTTCTTTAAAGTGTTGAAAATAAGCCTAACAGCTCTATATGTCTAGAAATTACATTTTAAGTATGACTACATATTCATTATCATCCAATTACTATCTTTTATATATGAATTATGTGTGTCCATAAGCTTTATATGTCATTTTTGGTAGTGATATTTCATTTATACTTTATTAATATTGAGATGACTTCGTAAAAACCTAAGATGTTTATACTTTAAAATAGTTTCATTATTAGTGATTAAGTTTAGTTTATGAAAATAAAATAATATCAGCTTTGCTATTATGCACCTTTTCTCCTACTAATGAGTAAGTGATGCATCAGAAAACAGAACTAACTTTAACGTAGAAAAGATGAGGTTCTGGGCATCAAAGCTTCTTTCCCAACATGTATGGTGTATATCAGGTACTTGCCTTTGCATTAACATTGACTACAATGGAAGGAGAAAGAGACTGTCCTAGCCCAAGTAGCCTAAGTGCACTCGGTCTACACAGCATTCTGCTCTAAGGATGTCTATCCAAGTGGGCAGAGCCTCGGTTATTTTGAAAAACCATTGAGAATCTAGGAGATGTTTTTAGGCAAAGCGTAACAGTGAAGTGCATGTGACAAAATTGTGAACAGAAGTGAAGTTGGTGTCTTTAAGTTTGGTTGATGTGGTAAATAACAACTTACTAAACTACTAGAAGATGGTAATGAATTATGCTTGAATATTTCATATACAATTGTAGTTTTACTCATTTGTTGATTTGTGTTACTTGTAAAGCAAGAGAAATTCAAGGAAATTAAAAAACTTTGTTAAGTGAGAATGTCTAATTACTTTAATGTAGCTAGAGAGCTTTTTTCCAGGTCCCACCAAGCCCCGGCAGTCCGACAGCCCACTTATAAAATAAACACACAGACGCTTATATTATTTACAAACTGTATGGCTGTGGCAGGCTTCTTGCTAACTGTTCTTATATCTTAACCCATTTTTATAAATCTATACCTTGCCATGTGGCTCGTGGATTACCAGCATCTTCACATGTAGCTTGTCATGGCGGCGGCTGGCAGTGTCTCCCTGACTCAGCCTTCCACTTCCCAGAATTCTCCTGTCTCCTTGTCCTGCCTATACTTCCTGCCTGGCCACTGGCCAATCACAGTTTTATTTATACAGAACAATATCCACAGCACTTTAATCTTGTACTAATTCAATGATTATTTGAAGGCTTACTCCATGTAGCACCCTGCATGTTTACTGTATGTAAATTTGTAAACACACTATCTTAAAATCTGGGGCTTAATTAGTGTTTAACTGTTCGTGAACTGTATTGAGAATTTGGAAATAAAGGCTCTGCCACTGAGGGCAGCCTTTGCCAACTTACTCAGTGAGCCACTGAGCTGCACACCACTAGGAGTCTTGCACAAGGTTCACACTAAAATCACACATGTAGTATATCAGTGCTTGCTTTGGAAGATGATAAGATTCTTAGGATTTAGTATCAGCCTACCTACAGTTGCCACTTCTTTACAAGATAATGTCATATTTTGCTATTTCCATCAATGGCAAAAAGCAAAAATTAAAGACCACTTAAAAGGAATCGATGTGTATCAGTATAGCCTTAAAAATAATTTGAGTGTGCTGCCTGCTCATTTTCCTGTGCTTCTGCCTTCTAGTCAGGCTGCCATTCTCAACATTTTCCACAGTAAAATAATAAGTGAATAAACGCCCATTTGTTTATCTCTTTTCCAAAGACAAAACACTGTGTTTTCTTACCATAGAAATACGCATATACAAAGATGTTGTATCTTAGATTAAGTGAATAACGTATTTTTTTTTTGTTGTTTTTGTTTTTTTTTT